CCATTTTTGATGTGGTTCGATGTTTTCTTCTTGTGGAGTTCAACCAGTACTTTGTATATCCTTGATATCAACCCTTTGTTGGATGTCTATTGGGTGAATATCCTTTCCCATTCTGTAGACTGTCTTTGTACTTTGGTTACTGTTTCTTTTGAGGTGCAGAAGCTTCTTAGTTTAAAGTAGTCCCATTTATCTATCTCTGTTTTCACTTGCTTGACCAGTGGCATGACATCTTTGAAGATACCATTCGCTTCGATGTCATGGAGGGTTTTGCCAACCTTGTCTTCAATGTACCTTATGCCATTCTGACAATACTTCTGGATTCCCGTCTGATGTTGAGATCTTTAATCCATTTTGATCTTACTTTTGTACATGGTGTTAGGCAGAGATCTGAGCCCACTGTTTTGCATGTAGCTGTCCAGTTTTGCCAGCACAATTTGTTAAAGAGGCTTTCCTTGCTCCACTTCACATTTCTTGCTCCCTTCTCAAAGATTAGATGATCATATGTTTGGGGGAAGCTGTCAGTATATTCAACTCTGTTCCACTGGTCTGCAGCCCTGCCTTTGTTCCAGTACCATGCTGTTTTAATTGTTACTGCTTTGTAGTAGAGTTTGAAGTTAAAGAGGTTGATTCCTTCCATTTTCTTTTTCCCAAGAATTGCTTTAGCTATTCTTCGGGGCTTATTGTTCCAACGAATTTCAGGAGTGTTTGCTACATTTTTGGTTGAAAAATGTCATGAGTATCGTTATAGGGATCACACTGAATTTGTACAATGCTTTGGGAAGTATTGCCATTCTGACAATGTTAATTCTCCCGATCCATGAGCAGGGGATATCTTTCCATTTTCTCATGTCCTCTTTTATTTCATGAAGTAGCGTTTTGTAGTTTTCTTTGTGCAGGTCCTTTACTTCCTTAGTTAAGCTGATTCCTAGGTACTTGATTTGCTGGGTCACAATTGTGAACGGGATTGTTTTTTTTCATGTCACTTTCTTCTCTCTCATAATTTGCATATAGGAAAGCCATGGACTTTTGGGTATTGATTTTATAGCCTTCAACTTTACTATACAAGTCTAGTAAGGAGTTTTCTAGGAGTTTCTTAGTAGAGGTTTTAGGATTCTCTAAGTATAGTATCATATCATCTGCGAATAGTGAGAGCTTGATTTCTTCCGTTCCTACCTGAATGCTCTTAATATCTTTTTCTTGCCTAACCGCCATTGCAGTACTATTTTGAAAAGCAGTGGAGAGTGTGGGCATCCTTGTCTCCTCCCTGATCTTAGTGGGAAGGCTCTCAGTTTTTCCCCATTGAGGATGATGCTTGCTGTAGGCTTGTGGTAAATGGCTTTAACTATATTGAGGAAAGTCCCCTCTATCCCCATTTTGGAGAGGGTTTTCATCATAAATGCCAAGAATTACTCCTGGCAGTGCACAGGAGACTCTATGGGATGCTGGGAATCAAACCTGGGTCAGCTGCATGCACAGGAAATGCCCTACCAACTGTGCTATCACTCCAGCCCAAAACTATATTATTTGTAATATATTTGTTTGGATGATAGTTCTATGATTCACAACACTGTTCTTGGTGCTTTTGCGGACACATAATTCCAACACCACACATATCACCATTGATTTTCTATAGCATTAGTGTTGCGGGAAAGAATTTACAAGGGACTTGGCCCGACCTCCCAGCTCTGGGAGCTGCGGGGCCCAGAGTGGAGAGAGGGGTTACTCTTGGCAGGAAAAGAAAGGCAGGCCTAAGTCTGACCAGGAATGCTGCCTTCCCTCCCAGAAAAGAATTTCAGAAAGAGACAAATAGTGAAGTCAAAAAGTTTTAACTTAGAGTTAAAGGGGAGAGAGAAAGAGAGGAGAGAAGAGAGAGAGAAAGAGAGAGAGAGAAAGTGAATGAGAGAGAGATGCATTCAAGAGAGAACTTGGGCTTTTTTAGTCAGCCACCCTATATTACCCACCCCATCCCCCCCACACACACAGTATTGGGGGCACGATACTGGCCTTGCGGAATGATTGTATAGGTGTGGGATTTTCAAACCACCATGTGTGGGATTTTCACCCTAGATTTAAAAAATACCTTGGTATTGTTGTTTTGTTTTGTTTAATTTTCAGTTTGCTTGTTTTTGTTTTGGGACCACACCCAGTGGTACTCAGTATTTACTTCTGACTCTACACTCAGGAATCTTTCCTAGTGGGGCTCGGATGACCACTTGGGATCGGACTGGGGTCGGCCCTGTGCAAGGAAGGGCCCTCCCGCTGTGCTATAGCTTGGGCCCCAACATTTGAAACTTTCGATGGTCCATCTTCATTTCCTATCACATTCTTCTGCTGTATCTTCTTTCCAAAAACGGGTCCAGCCTTTACTGGACCTGGGCTGGTGCCAGTTAGAGTCTTATCAGGCCTTAGTTCCTGTGTCCACAAAGTGGGTCCAGCCATAATATGTTTTTCTACTTTAGAGTTGGAGAAAGAGTCACTTCTTCAAACCCCATCTTGGTTTCATTACTTCCCAAGAAGTCATTGCCCAGGGTTCCTGCTGACAATCTATCTACTACTTCATTTTGTTTCCACTTGGGGTGTGGAGGGGGCCATACTTGACAACACAGTGCTCAAGAGTTATTTTTCATTCTGTGCTCAAGGATTGCTCCTGGTGATGCCCAGGGAGCCACACGAGGCGTGGGGGATGAACCTGGGATTGGGCCCACATAAGGCAAGAACCTTAAGCCCTGTTCTGTCTCTCCAGCCTACATATGACTTCCTTGGTGCAAAAGTTACTTGAGGTCCTAGAAGTTCTGAAAAATCTTTGGGAGCTAGAGAGACAGTACATTCAGTAAGGTGATGGCCTTAAAACATCAATTGGGTTCTATCCCCAGGTCCTCTGACCCCTGCCACGAGTGCTCACTCCCCTCCCCCCAATAAAAAAGAAGAAGAAACTTTTACCACTCCTCAACTACAGCCAAGAATAAAAATTACCCCAGATTTGGACTTTTTACAATGACCTATCAAAGTTACTTGAGGTCCTAGAAGAAAACAATCTATTTGACAGAGCAAACATATTTGGTCTTGTTTTTGTTTTGTTTTGTTTGGGAGGGTGTGCTCAGGGATCACTCCTGGCAGGAATCAGGGACCACATATGATTCAGGGGATAGAACCAGGGTCAGCTGCGTGCAAAGCAAGAGTCCTGCCTTCTGTAATTCTCTCTGGCTCTTGCTGTTCTTTTAGACATAAACAGTTCCACAGACTTCCAAGCCCAGATCATGTTTCCCTGAGACTCTGGAAAAATGCAGCAAACCAGCAACAAACCAACAGGAGCCTAGTGCCACCGATGAAAGCCCACTTTCCCTCTATCGCCGCCAACATCGGAAACTGCTGCTTCTTTGCAATGATAGCTGAGTCTCACCTCTCCTTAGAACCAGATAAGTGTATTGAGAGATGGGGGTGTGTGGCTTCATCGTAGAGCACATACCGGCATGGGTCCAATCCCCTGAGGTTGATACCAACCACAGCCTCCAATTCCTCAGACCCTTCCCCCAAATCACCAAATAAACCCCAATGCTTTCTCTCCTTTCTAATACTGACATACACCCCCCCCGCAGCTCCCAGTGGTGTGGCCAGAATATGTGGCCACCCCCAGCAGTCCTTCGTGGCTGCTCCCAACTTAGTGCTCAAGCACTGCTGCCGGCTATTCTCCGGGACCATGAATACTGGGAAGCAAGCCTGCACCCCAACCTGTTTAGCTAATTCCCTGATACCGTGATTTATAGTACAAAATCGTATTCTTTATTTACCCTTATTCCTAGCACAGGGAACCCCAGCAAGGGCTTTTTCTAATTTATCTTTGCTTCTTTTGTTGTCTGATTGGTTTCCGTGGGGAGGGAGTTTGGGGCACACCAGCCATGCTCAAGGCTACTTCTGGCTCTGTACTCAGGGTCACCAGCAAGACAAGCACCTTCACCCAATACTATCTCTCCAGCCCTGGGAAGTTTTCTTGGTTCTGTGAAGGAAGCACTTTTGGGAAATTCGCTAAATCACTCAGGTTGTGAAGGTCATTTGTCAAGGGAAACCAAAGTAAACAAAGGTTGCATCTTCCAGACCTCCCTGGATTTGCCCAGGGCTTGACCCAATAATTCACCAAGGGCCAATGTACTGAAGCTCCAGAACACTCAGACTGTCTGGTCTGAGAGAGCCTCTGAGCTGGGGGACGCATGGAGACTTGAGAGGATGGAAAGTAGCTGAGCCAGAACAGGGCAGGGCTCAGACGGCTTCCCTTCCTAGGTTCTGCTGCAACCCTTCAGCTGACTCTTAACCCCTAATCTTCAAGACGCTTCTGCAGAGCCTGGACCCAGAGCATGGTACAGCGAGGAGGGTTGCCTTGCATGCGGCCAACCCTGGTTTGATTTCCAGCATCCATAGGGTCCCCTGAGCACCGCTGGGAGTAATTCTTGAGTGCGGAGCCAGGAAGAACCCCCGAGCTGGGCAGTTTTGACCAAAAAAGAAAAAAATACAAAAACAATATCCAAAGAACCCTTCCTAAGGAAGGAAGAACCATAGTAGGAAGGTTCTGGAGAGAGCATATTGGGTAGAGGGTTTCCCTTGCACGAGACTGTCTGGAGCTAGAGCCCCATCATCCCACAGGTGTGCCCTAAGCCTTCCAGGAGCGACTTCTGAATGCAGAGTCAGGATTAAATCCTCCGACTGTGCTATCGTTCCGGCCCCATGTTTCTAAGAGTATAAATGATTGTTGAAAGAGTCTACGACAACCACGGTGAGCTTTGGGCAGGTGGGGCGCTGTGGACAGTCACAGAGAGTGTCACTGTTACTCCTGGTATCTATGAGCCCAAAGACACGGAAGAGTCCTTCCATCCTGTGTCTCCTCCTTTCAGGTCCATAATGTCACTATGGTTCCCGTAGGTGCAAGCAGGGGTGGGCTCAGCGACTGCACCCATGGGAGGCAGGCTGGGTGGGTTTGCAGGCACACACGCAACTCACAGACCTCCCACCTTGAACGCATGCTCCATACTGCGATACCAAAGACGGCCAGCAGGGGGCGGGCCCACCACGGCAAAGGGCCACACGCGCTCCAGACTGCAATACCGCAGACGGCCAGCAGAGGGTGGGCGCACCGCGGCAAAGAGACCACACGGGCTCCGAACTGCGATATCGCAGACGGCCAGCAGGGAATGGGTGAACCGCTGCGTAGGGGCCCGAGGCATCCAAACAGGCCTGTGGGGTCCCAGGCATCTTCCATCCGAGCGATGTCCATCGGGGTTAGAATCGATTTACTGCGGGGAGGGCGCTTGTCTTGCACGAGGCCCACCAGGATCCACCGCCCCCCCCCCATCCGGCACCCTAAGGACGCCCCAAGGGGACTTGGGAGTGACCTGAGCGCAGAGCCAGGGGTTGGACCCGAGATCCAGGGTGTGCACGTCAAACAAAATATTTTGAAAAAAACAAGATGGGAGGAGTGGGCAAGCTAAATAGATAAAGGTGGGGGGCAGGGGTGTAACTGGGCGGCGGAGCACCGGCCTTGCAGGTCTGAGTCCACGGATTTGATTCCAAGCTCCTGGATCAGGCACCAGAGTCACCCACCCCGCCCCCGGAACTCACAGTTTTAACTGGGAGGAGGGCTGCGGGAGGCAGGCGGGGCAGGAGGCTGAGAGATGCAGGAGGAGCAGGAGCGCAGCCTTCCTCACAGGCCACAGAACCACGCCCCCAGCAACCCAGAGTCGTGCCCTGAGCACTGCAGGTGGGAACAAAAGGAAAGAAGCCGTTGGATACTGTGTATCCGACCCTGACTAGCCTCAGGCTCCCTTCTTATTTTATGTCACTGTCAATGTCCTCTCATTGTTCATCAATTTATCAATTTTGCTCAGTAACATTGTGAGACTTGTTACTGTATTTGGCATAACGAATACATCACAGGTAGCTTGCCAGGCTTTGCCATGCAGGTGACATACTCTAGGTAGCTTGCCAGGCTCTCCGAGAGGGGCGGAAGAATCAAACTCTAGTTGGCCGTGTAGGAAGCGTGCAGGGCAAACGCCCTACCCTCTGTGCTATGTATGTAACTTTTGCCTGTTTACTTTCTTGGTAAACTCTGCCCCACGTTTTTGGGGTATGACCCAAGGCATGGCAGCAATTTGGGGGTACCTGGAAGTCTGAAGGCGCCATCAGGCTGCTGATGCACTCACCTCACAGCTACAGACTGACCTGCTGGTGGCACCATACCCCCAACCCAGTGCTTCTTACAGTTTACTCTTGCCTCTGCACTTAGAGACTGCTCCTACCAGGGCACAGATGACTGGATGAGATTCCTGCGATTGAACCCAGATCAGCCACATGCAAGGTAAGAACCCTACTCACTGTACTACCTCTTTAGCCCAAGATAAACACTTTTAAGAAAATGGTATACAGGCACAGAGCAATAGTTCAGCTGGTAGGGCATGTGCTTTGGCCAATCTGGCTTCAATCCCTGACGTTCTGTATGGTCTGCCCAAGCACTGTCAGGAGTGATTCCTGAGTGCAGAGCCATGAATAAGCCCTAAGACATCACCAGGTGTGGCACAAACATAAAGAAACAAAAAGAAATTGGTGTATCAGAATTCCATTGTAGAAACTCTTTGACTTATTTGACTCTATAGTTCTTGATTGCTAGCCAAAAATCTTTTATAAATAAACCGGAGAATAATCAGTTATCACTGGCAAAAAGGAAATAATTTTATTCAAGTAGATAAAGAACATTGTTTGCTCAAATTTTAATACTGCTTAACATAGTTTGTGAAACAATTTCCATCGTGTTTATTACTCAAAATGTCAATGGATTACGATCTTTCACTGGTGAGACACTTGATAATCTCCAGAGGAAAATACATCAAAAGCATATATACAATTATAGAAGTTCTTATAATCCATGTAGCCCTGATGGTACATTATTTATCACGTTTTACAGAACTAGAAAACATTCAAATGAAGATAAATACATTCAGACTGGATGATCACCTTCTGATGGTTCAGGTCCTTCATTTAATTTTTTCTGATAAGAAAATCCAAAATTATTAATGTTGAATTTCTCATCATACATTCATCTAAAACCACAGTGGAAAAAAAGTAAACTTTGTAAAGACAGTAAATTGGTTATTTCAGGTGTTTCACAAGTAGCTTGCTATCTAATCCAGGAACTGCTGGAGATTTCTGCACAGTGCAGAGAATGAGGTGGCCGGGCCGAAGTTGTTGCTGTCGTAATTGTTGAGGTCGTCCCCGTTCCCTTTGAGAGCCCCCTCGGACATCATCTGCACTTTCATGTTGAGGTCCTGATTCTTTCTTTGGAGGTCCACAATCACGGAATTCAGGAAATCAATCTGTGTTCAAGGAGAGCGTGAGACGGTGAGCCATCTGCGGGAGCCATGGGAGCCCGCCACAGAGGAGGCTGGGCCCCGCTTCCAGTCCCCGCCCCAGGGTTGGAGGCAGCCAGAGCTCCCCTTTCCCTTCCTGAGCGCAAGCTCCCGGGTGCCCAGGGAAGACCCCAGGAGGAGATGCTGGTACCCCTTGGTTCCTCTAAGAGCAGGGAGACAAAGACAGACTCACTTCTTTAAAATGAATGGGGCGGGGGGAAATCCCACTTTACAAAAGTAAGCATGACTGTAGGCACAAACATTCATGTTTCACTTGAAAACTGGCGGGCGAGTTGGGTCTGAGTGATAGCACAGCGGAAAGGTGCTTGCCTCGCACGCAGCCAACCCAGGTTTGATCCCTGGCATCCTATAGGGGCCACCGGAGAGCAGCCAGGAGTGATTCCTGAGTGCAGAGCCAGGAGGAAGCCTGGAGTATCGCCAGGTGTGGCCCCCAAAGAAAGTGTAAATAAAACCAGAAAAACAGACTGATTCTTTTTCTCCCTCAGGGCAAGTTCTGATGGCCAGTCTCTGAGAGTGCCCAGGCCATCCCACACTACAGCCAAGAAACACAGATCTCTCTTCCTCCAGCTGAAAAAAAAAAAAACATGGAAATGTTCAGTTCCCAACAAGCCCATACAGGATCCACCTGCACAGCCCACGTGCAAAGTTCACTTCAGCCCACTGTTAAGTGCAGAAGTGCAGGAAGTGAGGGTGTGCGGGAACTCCTCAGGGCACTGGGACCCAGATGGTCCCCTTCCTCAGAGAGGATTCAAACGATAAAGCGCTGCAAACCCTGGTGGGATGGAAGGGGCGTTGGGGAAGGAGAGACATCAAGGAGGCCCAAAGGCTGACTCCTGCTGCAGGCCAGACCCGAGCCTGGTGATGGTAGGTGCGGGCACTGGACTGCAGCCAAGTGTGCAAACCCCGGAGGACCCCACCCACCTGTCTCCCTTGACAGGAGCAAGAAGCAGGAAGGCAGCCCAGAGGACCAGACTCCCCCAGCTCTGGGCCTAGAGCATGCGCAAAGAGGCTGGAAAAGCCACATGCTGGTGGGCGTTTCCGTTTGCGACTGAACCTTCCTGGCAGGGAAGAAGCCCTCCAAAGTGGTGTTCGACTCTGGCAAAGTGAAGATTTGCCAATTTGATGGGAGCCCGAAGCCCAGGTTCTGGGAGAGCAGCAAGAGGAAGGGCATTGGAGGGCTCTGGCAAGGACATGGCCCATTAACTGAAGGGATGTGTCCTTGTCCATGGGGCCTCTCACTCCTTAAGCATCACCTCTTGTGCTGGGAGCGTGTGGGGGTGGGGTTCCGGCAGCATGTGCGTGGCCCCTGGTTCTCATGGGCGCCAGGGGAGCACAGCCCCTTCTTCCTCAGCTTCCCTCTTTTTGGCTTCTGTTATTTTAATGAACCAATTAATTTGGGGAGGGGGCTTTTTGGGTCACAATCCGGCGTTGCTCAGGAGTGACTCCAGTCTCTGCACTCAGGAATCACTCCTGGCGGTGCTTCGGGGACCATATGGGATGCCGGGGATGGAACCTGGGTTGGCCATGTGCAAGGCCAACACCCTACCTGCTATGCTATTGCTCCGGCATCATTCTCGGATATTTTAAATGGTAGATATTCCCCGACTCTTTTGAAGCATACACGCATATATACATATATACATGTCTGTGTATGTATACATGCTTATCTAGAACCTTTGTGGTAGTCAGTTTGGTTTGTTTGGGGGCCACACCCGGTGGGGTAGGGACTAAACCCTGGCTCTGTGCTCAGGGATCACTCCTGGCTAGGGTGGAACAGCTCAGGCTGTCAGCAGTCACTCGAGCCTAGGAAAGTGGGGCTGTGAGGTCAGAGGGCACTGGCTCACCTACAACTGCACTCAGGAATTACTCCTGGCGGTGCTTAGGGGACCATATGGGATGCCGGGGATTGAACCTGGGAATTCGGTGTGTAAGTCAAACGCCCTCCCCGCTGTGCTATCACTATGGCCCAGGATATGGTTTCTCTCAGGGCTGAGGCCGGGCCTACACAGCCCTGGTCACTACCATCACCCACCTTACTCTGCATCATCGCATTGGTGTTCCTGGTGTCCTCCAGGGAGGCCAGGGCCTGCAGGGACACCTCCCGCTCGGCCAGCAGCTCGGTCTGCTGCGCCTCCAGCAGCGCCTGGTCTTTCAGCAGCCAGTGCAGCTGCCGCTGGAGCTTAGTGGCCTTCTGGCCCAGCAGCTCCTTCTCAGAGCCAAGGCTGTTCAGCTGCTCACGCAGGGCCAACTCCACGCGGGCGGCCTCCTCCTTCTCAGCCGTGAGCTCCTCGATCTCTTGCACCAGCGACTTCTGATCCCGAGCCAGCTCCTCGTAGGAGCACTGCAGCTTCTGGATGATGTTGGCCTTGTCCTTGGCCAGGGATAGGTTCTCCAGAACCAGCTTCTTGACATGCTCCTCCAGCTGGCCCCTCTCCTCCAGGCCCTTCTTGCACTCGGCCATCAGGCTGCTCTTGCTCATCTGCAGCTCCTCCACCAGGGCCTGCAGCCCCAGCTTGGCGACCTGCAGTGCGTCCTTCTCCGCGCCCACCCTCTGGAGCTCCTCCTGCACCGCCCTGCCCTCTTCCAGCACTTTCTCTTTCTCTGCCTCGAGAGCTTCTCGGTCCAGCCGCTCCTGCTGGCAGAGCTTCTCCGCGGCCCACCTGGCCTCGATGACCTTCTCCTTATCCAACCGAATCGCTTGGTTCAACAGCCAGAGCTTCCTCTGCTCTTCCCGCAGCGAAGAGTTTTTGTTCTCCGCTTCTCTGAGTTTCAATTGAAACCACCCTCTCTCGGACTTCAGACAGAGCTTCTCCTTCGCCAGCAATTCATTCTCTGACCTCAGGGCCCTGCGATCCTCTGACATCAGCTCCATCTCTTCTTTGGCCGAGCTTAATAAGCAAGTTAAGGACTGCAGAAACAAAAAGCGGGGAAGAATTGAAACAAGAATGAGATCAAGCAGGCACACGCAAGCCCAGCACTTCATGTGGCCTAAATACCAGAAATGAAAATGGCAGAGTAGTCTTACCTGCACACGCGTGTATACGCGCACGCGCACACACTCACACACACACGCACACACAGACTCAGGATGGAGAGGCTCAAACACAGTTAGCTTCTTAGCGTCAACATAACTACCTGCCTATTTTGTGGATGGGGGCCCCACACCTGCTGGTGTTCGGGTCTCGCTCAGGGTTCTGTGTTAAGGGATCACTGCTGGCAGGGCCGGAGGACCATACAGGATGCTGGGGATCAACCCCGGGTTGGCCGAGTACAAGGCAGCACCCTACCCATTCTACTATCAGCCGATTTGATTTTTGAAATGCCGTCTGAAATGATTCCTGACAGCTCCCCGGAAGGTGTAAGTACAGTTGGATCTTGACATTGGGGCATAAGGTTTTTCCCCCCACTTCAATTCTTCTATTATAAAATCCATCACTCTGTCCTAGAAGGGATGCATTCAAAAACTAGTTTTCAATACAATTCAAAGAACTACAAAAAGTATTTTGTTTTGGAACTTTGTGCAGGAGGGGAAGGGAAGAGCAACCACTGCTTCTCAAACGATTTTCACAGGGACAAACAGAGGCAGGAAATGGACTTAGTCCCAAAAGTTATACACTTTATAGAAAATCCAGACGAATCCACCAAGCTTTGGAGACTGAAGCCAACAGTTTTTGCTTGCCAAACACAGTAACAAGTCTCAAAATGGAGACATTAGTGGGCCCGCTCGAGCCAATCGATGAGCAATGGGAGGGCAGTGTTTGCAGTCATTTGGGAGGGTCCCAGGGGCTCCAGGAGGACTGGCCGCACACGGGTCAGGGTCTCCCTCACCTGCTCTCCCTGCCCGGCAGCAACGGGTTGTGCGTTTTCAGTTCTGAGTCTCAATGCACACCACAGTTGAACCGCCATGTACTTTCCAGAACTTTCTGCAGCAAGGGCTATCTTCTCTGTCCAGCTCAGCAGCCATGAGCCGCAGCAGGCTACTGGCGTGTGCTGGACAGCTGACCGCTGACGGCCATGTTACTGGAATGGGACTGACCTGAGCATGCACACAACGCTGCTGGCCACAGAACTGGGCCGTGCACGTGGTCCAGAGAGGAGACGTAGCCCTGGCTGCGGTGCGTGGTTGAAAGAGGCCGGGCACCAACACACACACAGGCCACGGCCGCCACTCAGCAGCCCTGGTTTCCTCTGATGTAACCCCGCTTCCGTTTTCTTTCCATTGGCTTATAGATATGTATACACACATATACATACAAGCACATATATGTATATGCATACACATTAATATATAAACTATACATGATATAAAGCATGTAAAACTAAAAATGTATCCAAATACGTACATATGTATTCAAATGCACTTGTTGTATGTATATAAAGATGGACACATAGGTACATGTTATGTATGTACACACATATATGTGTGTGTACATTCTTTTCCTTTTTGTTTTGGGGTTCACACCCGGAAGAGGTCACGGCTTCCTCCTGGGTGCTTGGGGGACCATGGGGGATGCTGGGGATCCCCGGTGGGTCACGTGCACAGCAAGTGCCCTCTTGCTGCACTAGTTCCAGCCGCTCTATTTCTCTCCACTGAGCCTCAAACCTTAACATTTCTCTGATACACACTAAAAAATGCCTTTGAGCAATCAAGTGAAAACACGAAGGCCTGAACTTACTGAACAAGCTCAAAACAAAACGGAAAACCCAAGCTGGGGTCCCTGGGCTTCCGCATGATCTGCTGGGCGCCCCGGGAGCAACCCCCTTCCTGCTCTCACAGCCGCCGCCGGGTGGGGGAGGTGTCTGCGGCTGCAGGCCGAGGCCCCCCAACAGAGCCCGACCCCGAGACGGCCGCCATCAGCCGCGCCGCTGCCCTGCGCCCACCCACCTTGGCCTTATCGGCTTGCGACTTCAGCTCAGCCACCTGTCGCAGCAGGCTCCCGTTCTCCGCCTCCGCTGCCTGCAGCTTCTCCTCCGCCTGCAGCAGCAGCTTCTGCAGGGCCTGCGGCGCCTCCTCGTACTGCCCCTGGCTCTCCACGCTGGCCTTGGTGTGCTCGGCCTGCAGAGCCTGGCACTGGCTGCGGCTCACGTCCACCTTCTCCTCCTGCGGGGAGCCAGGGGCCACCGTCAGCAGCCGGCTCCCTGCCCGCTCCCAGCACACACGCACACACACGAGCACACACACACACAGACACAACGCAAACACACAAACATACACACCCGCACACACACGGCCCCTCTGCTCTGCTCACCAGCATGCACACAAAAAACACACATGCACACACACACGCGCGCACACACGGTCCCTCAGCTCGGCCGCTTTCGTTCAAGTTTTCCTGAAGACTACGAAGCGCTAGCCCCTTCCCCTGCAGCTCTTCGGCCAGGCTATCGGCCTACCAGAGTCACAAGGATGGAGTGAATGGACCAAGGAGACAAACAGGAATGGGAAGGGGAAAACAAAACAGAAAACATGTATGAGAAGCCCATGACCCAACACAACCCCGAAGAACAGAGGCGTGAGGTGAGTGTGATTGCCTGAAGCTCGTGAAGCCAAGGCCTTGGCGCCGGCAGTTCTGGTGATGACTGTCTAGTGGTTATTGAAACAGCCCAAACAGAGGCGTTTTCTAGACCTAACTTTGGAGTGGCCAGAAAATAAGAAAGCCTTTGAGAAAGACTGACTTTCCAGGGGCGAGGAGACGGCACAAAGGGCTGGAGTATACACCAGGCCCGAGTAGGAACTGCAGCACCAATGGGGGAAGTAAGCAAGGGAGGAGGGAGGCTAAGCATAGGAAAGAGGGAGGGAGGAAACAGGGAAGAAAGGGAAAGGGAGGGGAGGAAGGGAAGAAAAGGTTATCTTTTTTTTTTTCTCTTTTGTCCTTTTAGGTCACCCTAAGTGCTCAGGAATTTCTCCTTGGCAGTAACCCGGCCAGCTCACTGAGAGTATCTCGCCTGCACGGCAAAGCCTGCCAAGCTCCCCGTGACGTATTCGATATGACAAACACAGTAACAAGTGTCACAATGGAGACGCTACTGGGTCCGCTCGAGCTAATCGATAAACAACGGAAGGACAGTGACAATGACAGTGACCCTATGGGATGACGGAGATCGAACCCACGTGGGCCGCGTGCAAGGCAAATGCCCTTCCCATTGTACTATCATACCGGCCCCCAAGATTTACTTTCTTGTAGTTTCTTTTCTGTGACTTTAAAAGTTTGAGGGGTTTCAATATGAAATTTAAAATGAAGACCCTCTAATCCACTAGACAGCAGTCACCAGAACTTGACGTTTGTTACATCTTGATGCGAACAAGTGGGTCAGCTATCCCCTGCTGTGTCCCAGGAATTGATTCCATTTGTTTCAGCCGGTATTTCTGGAATGCCAGCCAAGGAGTCCTGAGTCCTGAAGGGAACTCCCAGGGATCTCGGGGCCCTTCTGTTATGTCTGTCAGTCCTGTCTACAAAGCCCACAGCCCTTCCATCTTGGCCAACAGAGAAGTTTCTCCAACAAAGTGCCCAGCGCGGGGGGCGCTGGGGGTGAGGGAGCGTCCCTGCCACGACAATCCTATAGGAGGGAAAGGGCATTTCTCGAGGGTCCTTGGTGAGAACTGCAGCTTCCTCGGCTTGGCCCAGATCTCACTGTCTCGTCCTTCCCCAGGGTCAGGGCTACCATGAGAGTCCATGCCCGTGGCCAGCAGAGGGCCATGCGGGAAGGCGGACTTGGCCCAAGCACCCCTTAGAGGCTGAAAGGGATGAAATCTCTGCAGGGCTGGGTGGGGGCTTGTGCTGCAGGGAGGGAGGGGCTGGCAATGAGAAATACCAAGATGGGCCACGTTACCAGCCCTGAGGGAGCTCAGAGGCTCAGAGGCATCGAGCACCAGCTGGGAACTGAGGCGCTCCGGGGAGAGGAGGGCAAAGCCCGTCACACGAGCAGGTGGTCAGCAAGGTCAGGGAAAGACCCTCGCGGCCTGACTCGAGTCCAAGTGTCTGGGCGAACTCGGCGAGTATGCAGCGGGCCCAAGGGGCGGGGGCAGAGTTTGCTCTGGGGGCTCCTATCTTGTTTTCTCACTGGCCTCGTGAAGAATTCTCTGTTTCAGAAAGACCCCAGACGGGCCCGATTAGCCGGGGCCAAGGCTAGCACGGCATCCAGGTGCTGGGAACCAATGACAGCCCCAGAATCGTGCCGACACCTTCTCAGTCCCCTCAGAGGGAACCGCACGGGACGTGACCGGGAGACCTGTCAGCACCAAGCCGGAACACGGCGGCGAGCAGACTGACACACAGCATGCAGGGAGCGAGCGTGGAAGTGGGCGAGGGCGCCCGAGCACCAACCTGCAGCTCTCGGCCCGCTTTGCATTCTCTAACTCCTGAATCTGCCGCTCAGCCACCTGGAGCTGCTGCCTGAGCTTCTCCATTCCCAATTGACCTTCGGAACTGGCCTTCCAGAGCCCATCGAGCTGCAAGAGCTTCTGCTGGGTGGCCTCCAGCTGTGCCGTGGCATTGGCCAGGGCCTGGGCTTGCTGACTACACACGGCCCGCAACCCGTCCAGGTGCTTTACCTTCGTCTCCGCCTCCTGCAGCTTGTTCAGGGCGTCCTCCATCTCCACCAGGTGCTGGTCCTCGATCTGCTCGAGCTTGGCCCGTGCGGCCTCCAGGCTGTTCTTCTGCTCCTGGGCCGTCCTGAACAGCCGCGACCTGAGCGTCTGCAGCTCGGAGGCGTGCGCTGCACGCTCAGCCGCCTGCTGGGCCTTCAGGCTCTCCACCTCCTGCTGGTACTCGAACTGTAGCCTCTCGATCTGCATCTTGAGCTCGGCCAGCTCGGCCGCCTCGGCGCCCACGACCTGGCTCACGGATGCCTTCGGCTCGCCCATGGCCTGTTGGTGCGGGGCGATGGCCGTCTCCAGCTTGGACTTCCTCAGGGCGATCACGTCCGCGTTCTCCTTGTTGGCATGGTCTAGCTTGGTCCTCAGGCACTCGTTCTCCTTGGCGAGCTTCTCAGAGGCCGCCTGCAGGGACTTCACCTCCTTCTGGTGGGAAAACAAAATTTCCATGAACTTAAAACAGGAAGGAAAAGAAGCAGAAATAGAAATTTTTCTTTTCCAAACTGACTCTTTGCTTCTTCTTGTTTTAAGGAAAAGCTTCCCAAAAATGGGGTTCTAAAGGATTTGATTTGTGCTGCTCGACTGAAAATCAAAGCTGAGGCAAAGGCATAGACCCGACTGTCAGAACGAGAGAAAAACGCTCATCAAGAGCAGCCTCCAGCCCCAAGGAGCAGAGATGTGTCAGCCGGGCCCTGCCAGGTGCATGACCCCAGGTATCCCTGTCTGATTCGGAGTCTCAAGCAGAAGTGGTCCCGGCGGGGTCGGCCAGGCCGCCCCGCATCCTTGCCTGCACCCTGCAAGCCTCCGGGACCTGCCCGGGCTTTACCTCCAGGTCGCCTTTGGTGATGGACTCCTCCTCGACTCGGAACTGGAGGTCTTCCACTTTCCTGTGGGGGAGAGGGAGACGTTGTGAGGGGCGTCACTGCTGCCCCCCATGAGGGCCACCATCTTGTAGGTGCGCCTGACCCAGCCCCCGGCTCCACACACAGGAGGGCTGAGAGAGTCGGGGAGGGCCAGAGCGAGAGTACAGCAGGCAGGGCGTTTGTCTTGCACGTGGCCGACCCGGGTTCAATTCCCAGCATACCACTATGGACCCCGGAGCAATGCCTGGAGTAATTCCTGAGTGCCGAGGCAGGAGTAACCCCTGAGCATCGCTGGGTTGACCCAAAAAGAAAAAAAAGAAAGTCAGCGAGTCCCCTCACCTTCGAGCACTGGGTGGGACCCGCAGGCTACAGGAGGAAGCTAAGCCGAGCCAACGCCAGGTGCAGTGTCATATCAACCCATTCTGCCTCGCAGCTAACAGAGGTGGTTAAAAACTGACCCGCGGTGCCTGCCAGTCCCTCCCAGCCAGCGCCTGTCTCCACATTGGGACAACAACTGAGCCCCTGGGGGAGAAGCAGCCAATGACTCGGGGGCGGGGGGCGGGGGGGAGGGGCTCCCAGTGACTGTCGAGTCAGCATGTGGAGCTGAGGGGCTGAGCCAGGCACTGGCAGTGCCCCTGGGCACCACACTGCCGGGAGCCCATCTGAAAAGGCAGTCTCGGCCAGCACCCCGTGTCCATCTGTCTGCAGCCAGGCCTCAGCCCCGCGTCCGTCTGTCTGCAGCCTGGCCTGAGCCCCATGTCTGTCTGTCTACACCCCGGCCTGAGCACCACGTCCGTCTGTCTGCAGCCTAGCCTGAGCCCTATCTGTCTGCTGTCGTGCCCCATGAGTACTGTGGGTTTCCTCCCGCCTGGGACTTAACCACAGGGACTCCCACAGGGCCCCACTGGGTTAGGACAGTTCCTTGCCACCCAGCACAGGCCTCCTGAATACCAGGCCAGGTGGACACAGCAGGGAGGGCCGGGGGTGGCTGGGCTCCAATGAGCTCCCCCCCAGCCCTCCCGGTGAGGCCGCGCTCAGAACTGGGCACCCGTTGGTTTCTGGTTCTCACAACCCTGGAAGGCCAGGAGTGCCCCACCAGAGGGAGCCCCCAGCTCCGGGCACGGCCTCACCTCTTCTCCTCCTCCAGCTGGTTCAGCAGCTCCACCTTCTCCCAGTCGGTCGCTTCCAGCATGGCCCGCAGCTCGTCGTTCTTGGCCTCCAGCTCCAGGATGTGCTGTAGAGGCAACGGCGCGTGAGTGGCCTCGCCCGCCCCCAACAGCCCTCTGTGGGCTGGCATCGCCACCTGTCACCACTGCAAGCTGAATGCATCTCCCACCTAAGCTACGGCATTTCTGGAAGGCCAGAGGGGAACCACACCACAAAAGCACCGGCGCGGACAACTCGGCACTCCCTAAACCCCCAGAGGGCGAGCAGAAGGCGCATGCGATCAAACCACGCGCCGGACGCCACCGCAACGACGGCAGACGGGGACCCACGGCCTCTGCCTGCACCGCCTGCACCAAGCTCGCGCCCAGCCTCTATCGCAGGCGTCTCTCGGCCCCGGCACTGCCGTCTGCACAGACGTCACCTGGTCATGCCCGTTCCGGCCAGGGCCAGCTCCTGCTCTATCTCCCCCATGTGGCTCGTGGCCTTGGCCACCTCCGCCCGCTCTAGGTCCCGCTCGGCCAGCAGCTTCTCAATGTGCTGCTGCTTCTCCTTCAGCGCCTCCTGGAGGGCGGTGGTGCCAGAGATCTTGTGGGCGTAGCGGGAGGAGGTTTCCGGCAACTGCAAAGGAAAAAGAGACGTGAAGGGGATGGGGCCGGCCGACACGGGCATGCTCGCGGTGATCCTCGGCAAAGCACATGGAGCAGTGCTGCATCCTTGCATATGGGCCAGCGACTCTCAGCAGAAACGTCATGAAACCTTCCCGAAGATCCTTGGACGGGACCTGGGCTCCACTGACCTCGGGCCTCGTGGGAATCCAGAGACTCTTCTGCAGAGCCGGAGGCAGCCCCCTCCACAGCCCGCTCTGGCCTGAGCTTCCTTAAGGATGAGCCCTTGGCTTGAGCTTGAGGCCAGCTCCAGCATCTTCAGCCTTGCAGGTCCGTCAGGGTCTCCCTGGGAAGCCTGTCCCTTCTCTCTTCCTCTTCCTTCCAGCTCACCTCGCTCTCCCGGGCACCCGCCCCATGCCTGAATAGCAGTAACCAGAGACTCTTGTCTCTGGGAATGGCCCCGTGCCCCCGGAGGTCACTGGGTGTGACCCTATAAAAGACCCCTGTGCCATCTGCCTTCGAAAATGGGAGATGAGAGGCTAGAATGATAAAGTTGGGGGAAAGGCGCTGGCCTTGCACGCCGCTGACCCGAGCTGGATAACAGGTACCCACCCCATAGGGTCCCGAGCCCACCAGGAGTGACTCCTGAGTGCAGAGTCCAGAGTAAGTCCTGAGTATTGCTGGGGCATGGCCAAAGTCCAGGGAAAAAAAGGAAAAAGTGGTTCGAATGTGTGAGGGCTCACGCCCAGCGAGCAGGACAGCAAGGGCAGCTCAGGGAAAGACCAAGCACAAAGGGAAGGAGAGAAGAGGCAAAGACAGTGAGGAGGGGAGGGGAGTGGGCTGAAGGGCTGCGGGGACCGGGGGTCCTGTCCGTTCTATCCTGGGCTCGTGGTCGCTCATGGTCGCTCTGCAGACCCAGATCCCTCTCTGCACAACGGCCCCTGCAGGAGGGGACAAGGCGGGACCTGATCTTCATTCTTCGGGCACATGGTGGCGGGGGCTGCAGCGGCGATGGCCAGGACTTCCGCTCCTTCTGCCCGGCCATCCCTGTTCCATCGCCCTGCTGCGGTCCAGCCGCAGGTTCTCTTGCCGCTTCCCCGCATCATCTGAGCTGCTGCCAAACGCCTCCTGACCGACGGGCCCAGCAGGGCCCAGGCTGTCCACTGCTGCTTTGCCTGCTGGGAGCTCTCGAGCCACCTGGTTCTGTCCGGAGAGCGGGATCATCCTTGCCTGTGCATAAGGACCTGGCCGTGATTTCCCGATACACTTAAAGTATATCTGGTCCGATTAAATGCCCTCCCCAGGGCCAAAGAGTCTGTTGGGGGGGTGGGGGAAGGTGCTTGCAGAGGTTCAAGATCCAGCACCATCAGGAGTGACCCCACCCCCCAAGCAGAGAGCCAGGAATAAGCCCTGAGCACCCCTGGGTGTGGCCCCAAAACCAAATAATAACTAAAATTTCTAGGAGCACACGAGCTCTCGGGCCAGCCATGTGCAGTGCTCTCGGGAACTGCAGTCAACTCGGATTTCAAGGGGTGGCTGGGAAGAGCTTGCCAGCCTTGGGGTTCTAACACCAAGACCCGGGCTCAACCCCCCCTCCACCGGGAGCAGCCGCCAAGCACCATGCCTGGAGTCCCTGAGCACTGCCAGGTGAACCCCAAAGAGCAAAAATAAAAACTAGGAAAGGCGGGCGGCGGTGTTCCCTGAGCCTCCTGGCCTGAGCGGGTGGGGCAGGCCAGACGCACGCGCTTCCTGGGCCCGAGACAGCTCCCTGAGGAAACCAGCACAGGAGCGATGGGCTTCTTTCAGCCAACTATGGAGACGAGACTGTGAGGTTCAGGCGCCGGAGCAGGGAGAAAGCAGCACCCCTAGCATGGGGGGAGGCACGTGCTGAGGTGCTGGGCAACGTCGGGGCCATGAGCTGAACTCAGGATGCTGATGCCAAAGCCTCTGCCCTGCGCGTGGTTTGTGAGGCCCCAGGCTCGATCCCAGCAAGGCCAGGCCTTCTGTGGGAGCCTGGTACCTCAGAAGAGCAACTCAGCCAACAGACGAACAGGGAGGCCTCCACAGGGCACGCATGGACCCGTGTACATGTATGTATGCGTGCATGTATTTTCCGGTGGGCATATCTACACGCACCTGTGTGCATGCGCGCGTTGTGTTTATGCATGTATGTGCCTGTGTGTGTATACCCATAAGCCTGTGTATATACGGTATGCACTACGTGTACATGTATGAGTGACTGTGTGTATGAACGCTTGTGTGTGCACTTATGGAATTATGTTGTCGAGGTATACTTCCGTGAAGTCACACAGAATCTTTCTATATTCCTGTCATAGACGCCAACGGTGATGTTCAGTTTAGGAGTGAGCTCCACCCTGCATAAAGATATGCAAGGCAGGGGCCAAAGAGCTGGAGAGCGAAGCCCCAGCGCTGTCCAGGCTCAATCCCGGAGGCCCGCCAGGAATAATCCCGAGCACAGAGGTGGGAGAAAGCCCTGAGCTCTGCCAAGTGTGACCCCAAAACAGAACAAAACAAGATAGCGGGGGGAGGCTGGAGATACGTCTCAGGCGTAGGGCTCTTGCTTGGAGGTGGGAGGCCCCGGCACAACCCCAGCACTGCAAACGGCCCCTCGAAGCACTATAGGGTGTGGTCCACAGTCAAGCAGAAAAACAAAACCAAATTCCACAAATGGGCTGGCTCGCGAGGGAAGGAGAGGGGCTTCTGAGTCTGCTCCCCTCCTAAATGGTGAGGCGAAGGGAAGGAGGAGTCGGACGTGAGGATGTAGGTGGGGCAGGGAAACCTGGTGGTGTTCGAGCAAGACAAGACTGGCCCTAGGCCTGTGCCCACGGCGCGTGGCCTCCTGGCTCCCGTTCCCATGTCATCTGTTTTGTATTTTCCGTTGCACACACACTCACTCCCTCCTCTTCCGCATCGAGGGTCAATGCACAGAGCAGAGGCGGCGGCAGGAAGCGCAGCCCCCAGCAAAGCCAACCCCCCGGGACACCCTCTCCATTGTCGGCCCATTTTCCTGTGGACAATATCTCAGGAACCCTTGCATATTCGGACACACTTTAGTGTTTATGACTCAGATAGACGTGAGAGGAGAAGCCACGAGGCCCCAGCTTTGACTTGTGGCCCCGCAATGGACAGAAGTCCAGGCCACTCTGCATGTCGGACAGGGGTGCAGAGGGACAGGAGGGAGCAGGGAGAGACGGAGAGAGCAAAGAAGCAAGACGAAGTGCCAAGCATTCCCCAGAGTTTCTGGGCCCTGCTCTGACCCTCAGGAGCCCCCTTCCGCTACCCCACTTCATCCCTAAGGCGGCCTGAGACAAGAGAGGAACCCTGAGCACCCAAGGAAAGGCCCTTCCCTGCTCCTGTCACCGGTGGTGGCTGGGAAACCAATTGCCTGCCACCCGGAGCTGCTCAGCCCACGTGCTCCTGCTCCGCCTCTCGCCCCTGGGGCTGTGGGAGTCTGTGGGGGCCCGAGCACCCCGCAGTGGTGGGGGGCTGCTTACTAGTCCCGTGCGGCTAGGCCTGCTGCTCACGGATGAGGCCCCGGAGCTGACGGAGCTGAGCGAGGAGGCCGAAGGGCTGCGCTTCAGGCTGGCGGGGGTGGTGGCCATCACATGCCTCACGGTGGCCACCTTGCCCTTGGCCGGCGTGGTGGACGGGAAGCCAATCTTGGTGACTTTGTGAATGGGAGCAAACAAGCCATACTTGGGCTGACACTGGAAGTACCTGCGGACAACGAGGAGGGGGGGACAAAAACACCTTCGGCAAGAGACACAAGCGCCGACCCAGAAGTCCACTGAGTCCCACAGTCTCACACCCCCACAAACAAACACGCTCCCACAGCCCCACATGCCCACACACTCACACCCCGACAAACACACTCACACACGCACCCCAAACAACACTCCCACACTCTCACACTCCCACCCCAACAAACACACTCACACTCACACCCCAACCAACACTCCCACACTTCCACACTCTCACAGCCCAACAAACACACTCACACCCCAACCAACAGTCCCATACTCTCACACTCCCACCCCATCAAACACACACACTCACACCCCAACAAACACTCCCACATGTCCACAGCCCCACACTCACACACACTCATTCCCCAGAAACACTCATACTCACACCCAAACAAACACACACTCACACTCGCACCCCACCGACACTCCCACACCCACACACTCACACCCCAACCAATACTCCCACACACCCACAGCCCCACAGTCACACACACGCACACCCCAACCAACACTTGCACGCTCTCAAACCAACACTGACACGCTCTCATTCCCCCACAAACACGCTCACACCCCCACCAACACTCTCATGCCCACGCCCCCACCAACACTCTCACAGCCCCACACTCACACGCTCACATACACACTCCCTCATACATTCACACCAACACTCGCTCGCATGCCGCCCACCACCACCACGCAAACCAAGGGCGATTCCAAGCAGCCTCCCCGGCATCTGAAGGGCGACAGCAGGCCCGGGGGTTCCTGCGGCCCGAGCACAGCTGCATGTGGGAGCCCTAGTCTGTCCCCACATCCCTGCAGGGTCCCCGAGTGCCACCGGAAGTGGCCCCGCCTAAGAACCAAGTGAAGTGGCCTGCAGTCCCCTCAGCGCCTCCCGGGCACCGTGCATTGCCCCAGGCTGTCTGGGGGGGCAGAGGGACCCACCTCGTTCCGGCCACAGCACCATCATTCTTGCCCAGTGGCTTGTCCAGCTCTACGCCGCACCAATCCCCCTTGCCGAAGTCCGTCTCCCCGAGGAAGCGCACCACACCGGCCTCCATGCCTCCCACCTGCCGGAGGGATGGAGGGACGTGGGTCAGGCACCCTGGACTGCGCACAGCGCCCCACCCCCGCAAACGAACATTCTGGCTTCAGAGTTGGGATTTCCTGAAGAAACCCCAAAGGTCAAAGTGCCATTTCCCCCCGCAACCCCTACAGGGTGAGCAGACGCTGCTGCTCAGTGTCCATGCAAGGCAGCGGCATTCACACCCACTCGCTGTCACCGGTGGCCTGGCTGACCACACCCCCGGGAATCTCTGACCCAGGCCAGCCACCTGGTGTGGCGAGGGGGTCGCTGCCCTGTGGGTGTGGGAGCGGAACAGTGGCAACCCCACCGCTGGAAAACAATTAAGCCAGAAACCAGCTAAAGGAAAATGACTGTTCTCGTATCTTAGCAGAGTTCGATCTTCCAGTTCTCCTTCACTATGCCTTGGCTTGACGCTGGGGTCCCGGGACACAGAGCAAAACAGAATCACAGCGCAGGACACTGACGGGAATGCTGACAAACAGGGCTGTAGCACCGGGGGAAGGGCACTGGCTTTGTGTGCGACCACCCTGTGACGCCCCAAGCAAAAATATCGGAAACCAGAGAAATAGAACCGATTTCCAACTTTGTTCATTGGTTTGTTTTTGAGTCACAGTCAGAGTGCTCGGGGCTTACTCTTGGCTTGGTGCTCAGGGATCACTCCGGGATGTGCTTGGGGGACAGTACATGGGACCAAGACTTAAACCCCGGGTCAGAGGCGTGCCAAGCATGACCCCTCCCCACGGCATGACCCCTCCACCCTGTTTTGGCTAAACTGGTAAAACTGGCAGCATCCCCGCACGCATCCATCATGCTGGAAACTGCAGGACCAGGCATCCCGGCTGCTCGTGCTTCCACCCAAACCGCGAGTCTGGAGGAGCTGATGGACCAGACAGGCGAATGGACAGCCACCTGCGACCGCGGCCCTCGGCACTCACCAGCACCCGGTCCCCGAGCTTCAGCTCCCGCTCGGCTTTCTTGAGGGAGCCGGCCTCAGAAAGGTTGGAGATGGATTCGCTGGCCATCCTGGTCAGGCTGCTGATGTGAGGGGTGGCCGGTGATTCCTTCGCGGGGGCCTGGGGCACCTTCTGGGTGCCGGCAGGGACCGGGAAGGCCGACAGGGGCGGTGTGACCCAGGCGGCAGGCGCTGTCTGCTGGTCGTTGGTCTCATCGTGGGCCTGTAAGCTCCTACTCAGATTGGACGGCCGGGTGAAGATGCCCTTCAGCGGCTTGCACTGGAAGTAGCGCACACCCGCCACCGAGCCGTCGTTCTTGCCGATGGGCTCGTCCAAGACAATCCCGGCCCACTGACCAGGGGCAAACTGGGTCTCCCCGAGGAACTGAATGAATCCAGGCTTGTTCCCGTTCACCCAGACTCGTTCCCCGACCTGGAAGTCGCCCACAAACTCCTCCTGCATCTCCGAGGAGGGGGCGCTGGGGGTTTTCTCCCCAGGCACGGTCTTCTCAACGGGAGCAGCCGCTGGAACAACAGAAAGGGTCAGAAGGGTCAGAAGGGACAGGAAGGCCCTGTGCAGGTCCAGTTAAAGTGTGGTTGGGGGGAGGGACACCCAGCAGTGCTCGTGGCTACTCCCAGCCAATGACGGGGGCTGCTTGTGGCGAAGCCTGGCCGGGCCAGCCGTGAAGCGGACGTGCTCACATACCGCAGCATCCCAGGCCGCAGTCATACTTTGGGCAGCTCAGGGGAAATCTTTGGACACACCCCGTGATGCTACAGACCAAGCCAGGTGAAAGCTCGAACCCAGTGTCTTATTTCTGCTGTGTCCACTGGCCCATCTTCTTTTTCTTTTTTTGGGGGGGAGCACCCCAGCCAGTGCTCAGGGCCTATTTCTGGTTCTCCGCTCAGGGTCCCTCATGGTGAGGTTGAGGGTAGAGAGTCACATGGGGTGCCAGTTGCCATCCCCACTGTACTGTGGCTTTGGCCGGCAATGAGGCCCTCTAGTCCAGGTGAGTCCACCTCCCTAAGCCTGTCCCCAAGCCCGGGCAAGGGAGCTAGCAGTTAGGAGGGAGCGTGTTGGTCGCCTCAGCTGTCACCGGTTGCCATGACACTAAACTCACAGAACGTGACACTCGTGTGTGAGAGCTGTGCCCAGAGCCACGAACGTGTCTACAGCTCAGGGAGCCCTTCCCGGGCGAGGACTCGGGATGGGGTTCCCGGGTGGGAATGAGTCTCCCCTGGCCTGGTCTGAGCGCACTTACCGGCCGAGGGTGCCTTCAGGGCCCAGCTCCCATGCTTGAGGATCTTGGTGGGGGCCTTCAGCCCGCTGGGCCTCAGCAGACTCATGGTCAGGCGGTCAGACGCTGCCGCGGCCACTACCAGGCCCCGACCATCGAGCCCACTGTGGGGCCTTCTGAGGCACACTCGTTCTCAGGACTAAATCTCTGAAGAGCAGAGGAGAGAGTCTGTCTCAGGGGAGCGACCACAGCAGCTTCCGGAGCCCAGAGAGCTGCCAGTCTGGCACTCACCACCCCGAGTGTGACCCCCAGCCTCCCGCACAGCCCCCTGGGCCCACCAAGTGTCATTCCTGCGCAAAAACTCAATCCAAAACAGACAAACAAACAACTGCAGATTCAGGGCCAGAGAGCAGAGGGGACAGGTACTTGCCCTGCGGGCAGCTGAACCTCATGCCCTCCCTGCCATCACTCCCACCACCAAACACATTCAGGAGCCAGAAATCATCCCTGAGCACCGCGAGTGTCACTGACCTCCTCCCCGTCCAGACACTGATGAGCCAGCAGGCGACTCAGCAGTGATGGCTGGTCTTGTGTGTGTGTGTGCGCGTATGTGTATGTGTGATAGGCCCGGGGTTACACACAGAAGCTAAGGCAAGCAACAGGCACACTTTTTTCGATAGGCTGAGAACTGCCAGGGAAATGGGCCCAGCAAGACTGCACCATGGGGGGCTGGAGAGCGATAGCACAGTGGGAAGGGCATTTGCCTTGCACGCGGCCGACCCAGGTTCGATTCCCAGCATCCCATATGGTCCTCTAAGCACTGCCAGGAGTGATTCCTGAGTGCAGACCCAGGAGTAAACACTGTGCATCACCAGGTGTGACCCAAAAAGAAAAACAAATTGCGCCAAAGGGGAGCAAAGGAGTTTTCGGCGTTTCCTTCATTCCTTGTGACGCTGCCCAGGTTGGATAACCACAAGCCAGTATTAACTCCATTTCTTAACCCACAGAACTGAGGCAGACAGGTAGATGGGGGAAGCGTCCCCATGGCAATGGAACTCCGAGAAAGTCAACAAAAGCTTCATGGCCACCAAAAGACCACCTGAGGGCACGGGACCCAAGTTCTGGTCAAAATTAACCCACATTAGGAAGCCCAGAGCAGGCTGGATCCCCCGAGGGAATAGGAACAAAGGCCAGGAAAGGAATTTCTAAGAGAACCATGGACCACTCAACTCTACCCCCTTGGCAACCACCCTAGCAATGGACTCTAGGTAGCTAGAAACTCCCACCAGGGGCAGCCTGGGGAAATCCCTAGATTAGCCACTTTGAACCAAGGGAAGGCGCGCATGTGTGCCCGAGCCCATGTACTGCTCTTGCCTATGAGGTCGGTCATGTCACGGGCTTCTCCCCTCCTGAGGTGTGGACTTTCGAACCGAATGCAACCTAGCAACATAACATGTTCAGTGGCTTTCTGCACCTCTGGAGAAGCCGCACTCTCTCTCGAGCGTGTTACTCCCTCCCTCCTTCCCCTTCCTAAAGGCCTCCAAATATAATGTTTCTGCTTCATGCTCATCTCCTGAAATGCTTTTCTGCGAGTAGGACAAAGGCCCGGGGGCCTGAGGAGTCGAGGATCGACTGCCTTTCCCTGAAAAGGGCAATCCCTCCCTCCGGCCCAAGACCCCGGGAAGGCCTAGTGAGCGTCGTGGGGCTGGCGGGGCTCATCGCGCTCAGCAGTGCCAGCGCTCCAGCCAGTCCCGGGGGAGTGACATCTTCTCCTCTGCTTCTCATCAGCCCCCGATGAGGGCCCACTGACTTCAGAGTCATTCCATATTTCAATAGAGAAGTCCGCAAGGGGCAGAGAGGCAGGACAGTGGGGAGGGCACTTGCCTTATATCCAGTTGTCCGGGGCTCGATCTCCGTCAGCACAGGGACGTTAGCCGGCCAGGGTCACCCCTGGGCACAGCCACGTATGGCCACCACACCCCACCCCACCCCCAGCCCACCCCCAAAAATATATATATAAATAGTAAAAAAACTTAAACTAACTAAAGATTAAAAACTATCATACACTAAAGAACTGTTAGAGAAAAAAGCCGCCCGCACGCGGGCAGAAAGCCCAGAGACTCAGATTCACCTGTGTCACACTGCACTCGCAGCTTCAGTACTGAGCTCTGCCAAACAGGCTCGTGCCAGTCTCGTGGAGAGACTGAAAATGGCAGTTGGAGTCTAGAATGTTCTGAGGTAGAACTAGAATTCAGCAAGGAGGAGGGCATCATGGGCCATTCTTAAAGGGGCAGGCGCCACCCTTCGTGATGTCAGTGTCTGGCTGAGGCTCGGGAGGGCTGCCCGGCAGACGTCAGCACTACATGGCCAACGAGCCTCTGGTCCCTGCGGGGCCCAGTTCTGGATCCCCGGGCCCTGTGAAAGTGGTTTCAGAAAACTTTTGACAAATGTTTGTCAGTTACAGATCTCCAACTGAGGTCATTCAGCATCCCCCGAGTGGGACCTGGACCCAGTGACACTGCCCAGGGCCCTCCTCAGGAGCCGGGCCAGGAAATCTGTGAGCCGGGGTGGGGGGGGGTGAGGGGGCGGGTGGACAGAGCAACAGGGCAGAGGCCCTGAGCCCGACCCTGACAGCCCTGCTCTCTGTGACCCCAGTGCTGTGAGCAACACCGGCCGCACCGTGGCCAGGGAGTGGCCCAGCCCACTAAGGCCTGAGAGATGTACAGAGGAGTATGGCCTGGCCTGCTCCTGATGGGAGCACAAGCTGAATGAGTGCGGGTCCCCTCGAGGATGAGTGAGCGGGAACTGGGGAGTGGGGGGGAGGTGGGGAGTGCGGAGTGACCTAACCTGGGGCCTGAGGACGGGACATCTGATGGTGCTCAGGGCTGACTCTGATCCAGTCATGGGAGCTCATCCTGGCAGGACCTGGGTGGGGAGGGATGTACAGGGTGGGGTGGGGTCAGCCACAGGCAAGTCAGGCTCCTTGGCCCTGGGCTACCCTTCCGGGCAAGGATACCTATTTTCTTTCTTTCCTTTTGTTTTTTGGGACACTCGGCAGTGCTCAGGATTACTCCTGCGTCTGCACTCGGGAATCACTCCTGGCGCTGCTCAGGGGACCTATGGGGTCAGCCATGCACCAGGCAAGCGCCAGTCTTCATGTCAAGGTGCCCACGAAACACAGTGTGCAACAAGGGACTCTACAGAGAACGTCAGGGCCAGCAAACGCTACGTGGCAATCAATCAATTCTGAAAAAACACAAAAAGATGCAAAAGGAGGGACTGGAGTGAGAGCACAGTGGGGAGGGGTTTGCCTTGCTCACGGCTGACCAAGATTCAATCACTAGTCCTGAGCACTGCCAGGAGTAATTCCTGAGTGCCACGTCCGGCGCTGCGGGGCAGAGCCAGGGGAGGGCCGTCAGGGTGAAATCAGCACTCGAGTCACACAGGGTTCGTCATTCAGGAGATGGCATGAATGCGTGCGTTTATTCAGAGCATAAGTACAGACTTAAGTATGTTTCCACAGCCTACCCAAAAGAAGGAAAGGGGATGGGACATGGGAAAGTGGATGGGACAATGAGCAGAGCCATGCACAGTTGGCCAGCCACCTGGTGACCCTTTCGGCATAATGCTATTGGTCAGAACGAACTGCTTTGATATAGCTTTGACATATCTGCAAAGATTGTGCTGTTCCTCATACATCATTTACAAATCATTTACGAGGGTGCATTTTCCCCAAACTGAAACCTCCTGTACTGGGAGGTTGCCCAGCTTTGAGTAGGACAAAGGGGGAATGAAAAATCAAGCATTCTTTTACTTGGTCAGTAGGCAACACTGAGCATCACTGAGTGTGACCCAAAAAGTCAAAAAAAAAAAAAAGAAGAGAGAAAAACAGCGCAAAACAAAATGTGTTTGAGCCTCACTGTCTCCCTGAGACTTGAACACTCAGTGCCGTGTGTGAGCCTAGTAGAGTCTCCGGCCTGAACAAGCCCCCACTCCTCCCTGACAAAGATGCTAGCAGGCTCATGCCCTGGAACGTCCCTGCTTCACACAGGCGTGGCACATGGGTCCTGGCCTGCTAGCGGCCGGCAGTGATTCGGCAGGAAGCAGAAGTGTGAGACTAAACATGGGTCAAGTCCATTCCTTCAGCTTGGAGGGGAGGAATGTACGAGAGGGGGTTTTGAGCACTGACTCACAAGCATGAGGTCCTGAATCCAAGCCCCCGGGGTCAACCGTGCACCTGGCACAAACCCGGCAGCTCTACTGTCCCAGCACCACGCAGGAAGGGGGTGACCCCAGGGGGAGGGCCACCGAGAGAGGAGGGGGACACCATAGAAAGGAGGAGTGAACTCAGGGCAGGAGTTGAGGACTGCAGGGCCGGGAGCACCAGGCAGAGAGCAGCCCTGGAGAGCAGGAGGACACGCGGGCGCCCTTCTCACTGGCCACTCGAGGCAGTCGCACAAGCCGTGTGCAGACCCACGAGGCTTACAGGGCGCCAGGGACGGGGAAACCCCAGCAAGGATTTTTCTTTAAGTTTTGGGCCTTGGGGCCAGAAGTCTAGTACAGCGGGGAGGGCATTTGCCTTGCACACAACTGACCCGGGTTCAATCCTGGCATTCCATAGGGACCCCCGAGCACCTCCAGGAGTAAGTCCTGAGTGCAAAGCCAGGAGTGACCCCGGAGCACGTCCAGGTGTGACCCAAAAACAAAACTACAGCAGAGCAAGCCGAAGGGCACGGAAGCTCCGAGCCACGGAAACGCCGAGGTTGGTGCCCACTCGCCCCCGCCCCCCGCCAGGCCAGGCCTGCCTGCGATCAAGGTGCCCGAGAGTCTCCAGACAGGATCTGCCTCAGCGGCTCGGTGCGTCATCTCAGCCTATCACCCAACTCGACTGGGATTGACTCTGGTTATCTCCTTGACTGGTTATCTTGGGCATCTCAGGGGCCAGACGCCAATCTCCGTCCTCCCACCTGGCCAGGGCGGGATCAGGTGTCAGCAGCTGGGCCCTGAACACCCCACCTGCCCGTCCAAACACAACGCGAGCCCAAAGGCCAGGCTCGCCCCCAACTCGTAGGACACGACCAAGCTAGGGGCCCCGGAGAGCACTGGGCCCGAGGATGGGTCCCAGAGA